AAGGTTCGGTGACGCTAGGGTTATAGAGATATAAGTATGCGGTAACCCGAAAGTTGTTCGGAGTCCTGGATGAGATCCCGGACGTCACGAGGAGTTTCGGAATGGTCCGGAGGTAAAGAATTATATATAGGAAGTGCTATTTCAGCTATCGGGACAAGTTTCGGGGTCACCGGTATTGTACCGGGACCACCGGAAGGGTCCCGGGGGTCCACCGGGTGGGGCCACCTGCCCCGGGGGCCACATGGGCTGTAGGGGGTGCTCCTTGGCCTACATGGGCCAAGGGCACCAGCCCCTAGAGGCCCATGCGCCAAAGGGACAAGAGGAGGGGAGAGTCCTAAAAGGGGAAGGCACCTCCGAGGTGCCTTGGGGAGGATGGACTCCTTCCCCCTTGGCCGCACCCTTCCTTGGAGGAAGGGGCAAGGCTGCGCCCTCCCCCTCTCCCTTGGCCCTATATATAGTGGGGGTTAGGGAGGGCAACCATACCTAAGCCCTGGCGCCTCCCTCTCCCTCCCATGACACATCTCCCTCCTCCCGCAGCGCTTGGCGAAGCCCTGTTGGAATCCCGCTGCTTCCACCACCACACCGTCTTGCTGCTGGATCTCCATCAACCTCTCCTCCCCCCTTGCTGGATCAAGAAGGAGGAGACGTTGCTGCTCCGTACGTGTGCTGAACGCGGAGGTGCCGTCCGTTCGGCGCTAGGATCATTGGTGATTTGGATCACGACGAGTACGACTCCATCAACCCCGTTCTCTTGAACGCTTCCGCGCGCGATCTACAAGGGTATGTAGATCCACTCCTCCCTCGTTGCTAGATGACTCCATAGATAGATCTTGGTGACACGTAGGAAAATTTTGAATTTATGTTACGTTCCCCAACAGTCGGTTTATTCCTATGAAGGGCGCGAACGGCATATTGTACAAGTTGGTCATGTAGGTGGTGTAAAACGATATGCAATCGTGGTACGCCTCCGCATAAGCTTTTCGAGCTAAGCCGTCCACCCAAAATATGTTGACAACTCTGTCCTCTTCATCATATTTCACCTTATAGAAGAAGTCTGGATCGGTTTTTTGTATATCCTTGAAGTGCGCAATTGTCTCAATTAGATCACCCTTCTTTGTGTCATCTCTACGAAAACTTGTACAAAGATTTGTTATTTCCTTTGGTCCGAACGGCACCATCATCTCAGATCCATAAAACTCTGCCATTACATGCATTATTCGTCCTGCATAATACAAAAACAAACAGTATGTCCTTTTTTTAGTTGCACAAATGGCACATCCAGCTGCACAGTAATAGGACACGTGTTGGCACAGAAGATAATTGCAGGAAATGGACACCTAGCTGCACCTTTTTAAAAACACTTTGCAGTTTTTGCATACAGGACATTGTGTAGTTGCACAGTAAAGACAATCTAGGTGCACAAGAAGCACCAAAAGTGATATACAAAAAGCATGGGAAGTTGGACACCAGTTGCACAGTTAAGCCATTTCAGTTGCACAGTAGTACCATAATAGTTGCACACTAGACTTCCTAGAGGGAAACTTAATTCTTCAAGGGATATAGAAAAACAACACACCTGTAGTCAAGTTGCAGTTATACAAGATGCGCAGAAACTCCTTTTCATCAGGTGAGATACCTTGGTGGGATCTCAAGTATTTGGACAATGATGGTTTGTTCACAAGCGGATGATTGTGGTCACGAACAAAGTGCGTCACCTCCCATCGCCCATCTATCAGCTTCACCAACATTTTCGCCTTGCATTCAGTCTGCTTTATTGTCTCGCGTTTGCGCTTCTTCTTCTTCTTACTAGTACCAGCCTCCTCTTCAGCAAATATTGGAGGTTCTTCTTCCATCGCCTCATCGCTGTTAACAGATTTTGGATCTAGAATAAGGTCCAGGACAGGAGGAGCCTCAGCTCCTCCATCATCAGCTTTGGGCTTCTTGAACTTGTTGCAGCAAAACTGTTGTTTTATCAATTCATTGGTGCGGGCTGTCCGTCTAGAGGTGTTCATCTTGATAGAGAAACCCATCCGTAGTGCGTAGCTGTTGTAGTGATCCTTAGCAATTTGAAGGTTGTCAAACCTCATGCCAACATAGGGTTCCATAGGTTGAGAATCATCCTCATCCTCTCCTTCTTCTACTTGCACAGCTCTGTCAACAGCCCCAGCTTCTAGCTCAGTCCTGGTTGGACCAGGAACATTTGCCTCGGTTCCTATGTCATCAAGAGTATGGCTCTCTGACTGCAAAGACACCACTACAGGGGCACCACGGGCTGATGACTGGCCTGCCACATTGTCATGGCCAGTAGGGTTACCATCACGACTTGCCTGCGTGTAGTAAACAGATCGACCATTTTCTGTCCAATTTCCTTGTTGTATGCTGGGTTGCTACTGATCCATATCACGAGGAAGCTCATTGAGATCTGGAGGCAACTCATTGAGATCAAGCATTTTTTTCCTTGTTCTTGGATGCTGCCACACACTCCCTGCACATATATAAAAAGAAGAAATTGATGTCATTAGTTGGTAACCACAGAAAAAGAGTGTTTCAAACAACCTAAAAACTTAGTAAATAGGCAGTTGCACACCATTTTGTGATAATCTTAGTTCCAAAAACAACATGACTGTAGCATAATCTTTTATTATAACAGTTATGAAATTTTTTATTTGCACAGATTTGTTATGTTAGTTGCACAGTTTGCAGTAAATAACTGGCAAAAGCATGACTTCTTTTTGCTACAGAGTTTTTTTGACTTTCCCCTTTTTTGTTTTGTTGTAATGATCTGTAGGTTTCCGTTTCGCAAGGAGCTCTTTTCAGATTTTTCTACACATAATTGGATGCTACATTTGAGAAGGAAAATCCAGGTGAAAGAAGAAAGAAGAATTGGAGGACAGATTATAGTTATATGTTTTTCATTGTCGTTTATGTTTCTAGTTCTGGTATATTTGAACATATTAATATGGTTTGCAATAGGTGTGGGACCAGAATATATGCGTGGGACAAGATTATATGTGTGAATATGTTAATATGGTTTGTGGCTTCATTAGCCATGGACAAATGTTCTTGTGCTTTTCCTGTTGCACTACAGATTTCTGGTTTTCGCTAGAATAGACGTCTCAATTGGCAGGATGCATCTTTGCACTTGGCCAGCATACATATCCAGTTGGACATTCAATGTTTTTAGTTGGCTAGAATAGATGTCTCAGCTGGCCAGGTTGATTTATTTCAGTTTTTGGCCAACATGCATGTTCAGTTGGACAGTTAATACATTCAGTTGGCTAGAATAGATGTCTCAGTTGGCCAGGATACATTTTCTCAGTTTTTTGCCAACATGCATGTTTAGTTGGCCAGAAAACATGTTTTTTATTTGCACATATACTACAGTTTTCCCAAAGTGTTCACTCACAAACATGTATTGCGAAATATACATGTTTACTTGGCCAGGATACATGTTTAGTTGGCCAGGATACATGTTTTTTAGTTGGCCAGATAACACGTGGGGTACAATGCATGTTTTAGTTTTGGCTAGCATGCATGCCGAGTTGCCAGAATATAGGTTCAGTTGGATGGGATGCATGTTCAGTTGCACATTTATGAATTTTTCGTTGCACATATCTATTGGGCAGTCAATTTTTTGTTCATTTTGCAAACAATAACTACAAGTTGGTAGAATGCATGTTTAGTTTTTGGCTACAATGCTTTGTTGAGTTGGCTTTAATCATGTTTTAATTGGCCAGAGAACTTATTTTTAGTTGGCTTGTTTAACACATCCAGGTGGTAGAAACTTGTCTGGCATGCATCAAGTAGTTTTTGGCATGTTTAACACATCCAGCAGTAACATCAAGTAGGCTGGTGTGATGTGCCAGATTCATCTCTTTTTTGAAGCAGATTCTCCATGGATCCATGGAGAAAGGAGTTTACATATGCCTATGCAGTACAAGAAAGGGGGAAGTGAAGAGGTGCAGAGGGGGCTTACCTGCTTGATCTTACTGCCTGGTATGGCCCTGATCACCCTGCCCTTTAGATCTTGAAGCAGCTCATTCTACTTTGGGGCTCCCATGGCGGCTGTAGGAGGAGGAAGAAGGGTTGGGGGCGATTTCTGTTGGATCTGCTTCTGGCATGGAGAAGAAGAAAAAAACAGCGTGGGAGGGGCTGAGGCGTGGGGGCGAGCGGGGGCGTGGGTGCGAGCTGGGGACAGCTGGCTACGTGGGCGCTCGATCGGTTTGTTTGGTGGCCGGTCGATCGGTCTGTTGCCTTCCTTTTCTGTTTCGTGGGGACAGGGGGTTTCCTTTTTCAGCCGGCCGCTCGGTTGCACTAATGGGCAGCCGGCCGCCCACTAGACACGCCCAACAAAAAAAGTGGCCCGCCCCTTCCCTGTCCTAACGACCATAACGGGCCAACAAACAAGAATGGGCCGGAAAAAAAGAACGACGGGATGCAACAAGCGACAGTGACAAAGCCAAACAAAAGATCGAGATTTTTGCATGAGATTACAACAAACAGATTCAATGGCCAGAGACTTAGATGCGACATCCTTAAATTTCATCTAGATGTGAGTTAGCAATTCCGAATGTTTTTTTTTTTTTTTTGCTTTGTCTGCGTCTCGCTCGTGATTTCGATTTGTTTGCATCCGGATGACATGAACTCTCTGGTTATCCTTAGTGCTATAAGATAATACAAGACGTGATCATGGGATGACATCGTGTAATTGGATTTGCCAGAAAGGAACTTCGTGTGAGAAGAAGAGACCAACAAGCCGCCGCCGCAGCTAATCTTGACCTGAAGCCAAAGCTAGCCCGATAAGACGAAGCACGGAACATTTTCATCCGGGAATCGTGTAAAGTAGTACGGCCTCCTTTTTTATACGGTGTAAACTTTGTGTACATGAATGGCTAAATCTAGTGTGTTCTACAGTACCACGTAGTGATTTCTCAATAGTTACTACTCCGATGCCCTGGAACATTTCTGCATTACACCTAGCGAAAGCATTTTTGATTCTACTAGGCCTGGATGAAGAAGTGGTTCCCGGAGCCGAGGTCGACCGTGACGCTCTGCGAGACGGAGGTGTTGAGCGAGGGGTGGCTGACGGTGACCTTGTAGTCGCCGTGCGCGACCTCGGCCTGGAAGTAGCCCTGCTCGTCGGTGGTGCCGGTCTGCGCCGCCGTCCTCCACTCGGCGAGCAGCCGGTCCACCACGTCCCCCTGCGGCAGGTTCCTGAAGTTGTTGTCGGTGAGGCACATGACGTAGCACCCCTGCGGCCGCCACGCGGACCAGAGGATGACCCCCTGCACCGCCGGGTGCGCGTACGCCTCCCGCAGCACCTCCTCCAGGTGCTGCGCCTGCGACGGCCCGCCGGCCACGTCCACCTCCGTGAGCCACACGGGGAGCCCGATCTGGGCCAGCGAGTCGAGCGCGGCGCGCATGTAGGGGATGTTGGGGGTGGTGAAGTGCCCCTCCAGCCCGATGGCCATGCCGGCGCCGTTCTCCGGGTAGGACGCGATGATCTGCCGCAGCCGGTCCACGTACCTCCCCGGCGCCGCCGCCATGTCCCCGGGCTGCTCCAGCGTGTTGTAGTCGTTCATGAACATGAGCGCCGACCCGGCGTCCAGCAGCCGCGCCGCCGCGTAGAAGGCCGTGGACGCGTCCCACCCGAACTGGCGCTCGAAGAAGGAGTAGTGCAGGTTCTCGTTCACCACGTCCCACGCGATCACCTGCCCGGCGTACCGCGACACGAAGGACCGGATCCGCCGCGACGCCGCCGCCAGCAGCTCCGGGTAGGGGAGCGACTGCACCCACCGCGGCTGCTGCTTGGGGTCGTCCCAGAACACGTTGTGCCCGCGCACCCCGATGCCGTGCTGCTTCGCCAGCGCCAGCATCGCGTCCGGCACCGTGTAGTCCTCCCGCCCCGGCGCCGGCTCCGTGCTGTACCACTTCATCTCGTTCTCGAACGTGGTCACCGTGAACCGGGACGTGAACCACTGCTGGTACCCCGGGTTGGTCAGGATCTCGCGGCTCATGGCCGCGCCCAGAGGGAAGCTGCTGCGCACGTTCTCCACCGACACCTCCGCGCCCTGCAGCGGGTTCCCGCCGGAGTCCTTGGCCTGGAGCCTCACCATCTTCCTCCGCACGGCGCGGGTCGACTCCGTCCGGTGCGCCGCCCACTCCTCCTTGCTGAACGGCTTCAGCGAGACACTGTCCACCCATATGTCCACCGTCGCATTGCTCTGCATGCATGCACCAACACGTTAATCAACTCAATGATTTGCTCCTTTGCACGAACCAAGAATGAAGATGGAGCGTAATCGGACCTCGAAGTAGATCTCGGCGCGCCCGGCGTTGGCGGCGGTGAACCCGCCCTTGAGCATGGACCAGCACCCGGGCTTGGCCACGGCGCCGCCGACGTGAACGAAGTCGTCGGCGGTCTTGACAACCGCCCACACGTCGGCGGCGGCACCATGGCTCACCTGCAACCACGCGGACAGAGTGTAGTGCGTGTCGTTCTGCAGGTACACCTTCTGGCTGACGCTGTGGTACGGCCGCGTCCGGTTGCCCGCCACGGCGTACCGGTTCCCCGTGGCCACCGACGCGCCCTCGGCGACGCTGCCGTAGCCGAAGGCCGACCAGCCCCGGAGGCCGGCGCTGAAGTCCGGGTTGACGATGAGCCCGCCGCCGTAGTGCGGCTCCATCGGCTCAACCAAGCACTGCATCCACCTCACACAAGTCAGACGACCGACGTATACTCTGAGAATAATAATACAATTTGTGCATAGTAGTATATTTTTAGCTGGTTTGAGCCCAGTGCCCGAACTAGACTATCTCTAAAAAAGAGGCGCCTGTCTAGACGTCGACGCGAAACAGATTTCCTGGTTTAGGCCGGGTAGAAACTAGACAGACCCGGAAATTGATCCTGCCACCCGGCTTTTACCGTCCGCCTTTCCTGGTTATTTCTATTCTATCGGCCAGTTGCGGCATGACCGCCGTGCACAAGTTTCATCTACTTGGCGTCCATATTGCTTTCGTCTTGGGATATGCAGATGCTTTGCGTTGCCTAATCAGCTGGATCAGCAGATAATCAAACACTAACCACTAATTTCAGATACTTTCCGCTTGCTTTGACTGTATCCATTATAGTATTATTATTGTATTATATCACAAAGACAGCATAAAGACAGACAAAAACATAGAGAAGTAGACCCAAAGAAAATTTATACATACTTCCATAGTCCAGACCAGTTCAGACTATATGTGCATGATTTACGGGGTTTTGTTTTGAGGTGTAGCCAACTTCTCTAACACGTCTGCGCACTGCACTAGGACGGCCGCTATCGTGCATGGCACTGAGAAGCATATTAAGGTACGTACTACTAGGTAAGAGAGAATTAAGGACATTCCATTTTAACTTGGGCGGGAAACCCACTGGCCCGTTTTAACTTGCGTGGCAAATTAACCCCGTTGCGTGAGGAATAACGACGTGGCCCATGCATGGTAATCTCCTCTGCTAACCCAAGCTCGTGCTTAAAAAATCATCTGCCCTTGTACATGGGTTATCTATGCTATTGCAAACGTAAGGGTCGGGTAATTCTCCTATGAGAGAATGAATTGAATGGATGGGTGGATGGGCTTGCCTCGACGCTTGCGGAAGAATCGTACGGGAGAGACTTCACCATGGAACCTGAATGGAAGCAAATGGTTAGCCAGCTGCGTTACAAAGAAACCACGTCGATTTCTCATGGAATGCAACTATCCGGTTGATAATTGGTTCATAGGTTCAAGGATACACGGCAGTAGCTTGCAAAGTGGTATAGCAGATTGAATCACTCGCATTGCGTACCTTCCATTAGAGCAGCAGCCCATAAGAGCAAGAACACCAGCTTCTCCATCGTGGTAGCCATCGCCGTCGGTCAGCAGTTCGTGCTCTGCAGTAAGCGCCAACCAGGGCAATGGCAATGAGGAAACAGAGCACAGAGAAAGAGGAATGCAGGGCAATGGCAGATATAGATAGAGGGTTTACCCACCCCCTGAAGAGACCAAGGCACTTGCTCAAGAGCGGCAGTAGGTAGAGGAGGAAGAAGAGGCAGAGGTAGACGACGGTCCAGTCCACGCTCACACTCGCGCTCCCTTGCTCTGTTCCCTGGACATCCGCACCAACGATCTTTGCGTGGCCTGCCGCCCGAATTTATGGTGGGAGGGCGGGCAACAGCAACACCCCCCGCGACGGCGACGGGGCCAAAAGATTATGATATCCGTCGCGCGCGCGCGCTTTGCTTGCTGGCCGCGCTCACCTCACCACCCGCACGGGAGGAGATCGAGCTTGCCAAGCAAGCGCGGCCGGAGGGGTGCTGGATGCCGATCCGTCGCCCGCCCGCGCAAGACACTTGGCCTTTCTAATTCTCCACGTACTGCTCCACTCTAGGTTTTCTTTTCTGTCTAGCTTAGCCGGTGCCTAC